AGCGGCCCTGAGAGCTGGAGAAGAGATGGCCACCCAAACCACGTGGAGCCCCGGCGGCCGCCAACCCGTACACATCACATTGCAGGTCCTATCTGGGGTCAGCCCACGGGTGGCCTCTCCCAATTGTGACCCCAGACTTTTTCACTGTGACTGGTACTGTTTTACCACCATGGCAGGACTTATACTTCTCCCTGGCTGTGGGCCCATTTCTGGCTGTCACCTTTGACAAATTGGCAAATTCTTAAATACTTTGAATCTCCGCTATGCTTGGTGGCTCCAGCTACTCCTAGTGCCCAGTATACCCACCTCTGGCACTCGTCTTGACAAGCCAAAGGCCAAAATCTCTATCTTTCACAATCAGGCTCCTACCTACTTGTCCCTTGTGGGAGAAACTCAGATCCATCCAACATGTCCTAAAGCTTCATGTGCATGACTCATGTCCTTGAGTCTTCTGAAAGGTGCTCCCAGAAGAGTAGTTAAGCCAACTCTGCATCGCTTTCCAGGTACAGCAGCACTGTCTGTCAAGAGGAGAAGCGCTCAGGGAAGAAGGAAGTTGAATGACTTCTGCCACCCCACCAAAGTGGTGGTATCAGTCTGTTACCAGCTTCATCATTTCAGAGGAATGAGGGCGTCTTGTTTGTTTTTCTGCTGCCAGAGCCTCACACAGGCATGGCACCGAGTAGGCATGGTTCATTGACTGCATAAACTGTGTAAATGGAAGGATTGTTTTCTCACCCACATAGTCACTAGCCCTTCCTCCTTCTCCTCCTCAAGTCTAGTTCTTGCTGATGCTTTATACATGTATGTTGAAGGAAGGAAGAAGGTGAAGGGTCAGCTCTTCAGAGGACTGAAGGAGGAGGGACAAAAGACCCTAGTGTGCCATAATCTCAGGGAAGAAGGAAGTGGTGTCATTTGCTCAAGGATCAAGCTGTGGGTGTGTGGGGTTATGCCCTTAATTGTGGGGAGAGTTCTAAACAGATTGTACTCAGATTCAGTGAGCCAGGAAGCTTGCTCAAGCTGTCACCTGCTATTCTCTCTCCCCAAAGACTCCTCCACTCAGCCGTGCTTCTTTTGTCTGACTTTTACCTTCATTCTCTGGTTAAACGTCACTTCTGGCTGGACATGGTGGTTCACACCTGTAATCCCAGCACTTTGGGAGACTGAGGTGGGAGGATTGCTTGAGGCCAGGAGTTTGAGACCCCCACCCCCATCCCTACAAAAAAGTAGCTGGATGTGGTGTAACATGCCTATAGTCCCAGCTACTCCATAGGCTGAGGCAGGAGGCTCACTTGAGCCCAAGAGTTTGAGGTTGCTGTGAGCTATGATGATGCCACTGCACTCTAGCCCAGGCTACATAGGCAGACCATGTCTCTATAGATAGATAGATAGATGTCACTTCCTCAAGGAGGACTTTTTCGGCCTCCAGACTAGCTCAGAGTCCTCTTTTGGTGTCCTTATAGCACCCAGTACTTTATGGTCACAGTCCTAATAGGAATTCGTAATTGTGTATATTTGTGCATGTGTTCGTTCACGGTCTGTTTCCCTTGTTCCTTAAAAGGCAGTACCACTTCTGTTTTCTTCTCCATCACATCCCTAGCGAAGGAGTTGGCTCATAGTTGATATTCAAAAACTATCTGATGGAGAAAGGAATGAATGAATATCATTATATCATTTGATGCTCAGAACAGTCTTGGGGTCTTTAGTGTTGTGTTTGTCTCATTGTCACATGAGGAAAGTGGAACTCAGAACTCTGAGAGGACACAGGGAATTGGAGCCAGGTCTGCTAGAGCTAGAGCCCTACAGCTCCTCTGCTGTCTGGGTGTAGGGAAGGGTCCAGGTTAGTGAGAATGGGAAGGACACAGGAGAGACAGGAAAAAAGTTGAGAATGGGCTGGGTGTGGTGGCTCACGTCTGTAATCCTAGCACTCTGGGAGGCCAAGGCAGGAGGAGGATCGCTTGAGTCCAGGAGTTGGAGGGCACAATGAGCTACTATGATGCCCTGTACCCAGGGTGACAGATTGAGACTCTGTCTCAACAAAAACAAAAAGGAAACTGAACACCCCTCCTTGCTCCCCCACTTCATATAAAAAAAAAAAGGTAGCAAAAAAAGAAGAAAACATCTTCCTTGATAGGATTCTGGAGTTTGCCCAGTTTAGACTCACATTTATAGGTGACACAATAGACATAAAGTAAAAGACCAAGAGGCATTTATAAGACACCACCATTTCTGACTGGGGCTATCAGTGTCAGCATAGTGGACATGGCGGAGCCCTAAACCCAGATACAAGAGACCTGACTGTGACCCCAGCTCTGTGTATCCTTGGGCAGCCCCTTCATCATTCTGGGCCTCAGTTTCTGCTCTCTCCTCTTGCCCCATCCTTTCTCTGTAATATGTAGAGATTCTTAAAGTCTCCACCTTCTCACACCAACACCCAGAATTAGAATAACGAAGAATATTAATTTGCATATTTATGACACTTTGTAGGTGATTCAAAGATGAGAGCTGTAACTAATATACTAGATAACAGAAACAAGATCAACGTTGGCTCTAATAATGACTGAGCCTATTCCAGTGAAATTTATGGGGGGTAAACATTCAGGGGGCATCCACACCGATGCTCCATTACAGGAAAAAGGACTCAGAGCATAACTGCACCAGCTGTGAAAAAGATGAGGGCATTAGCCCCAGGAGAAAACCCAGGAGGCAGGCATACCCCTGGGGGTGTGCTGTCACCACCTCAGCCGGACACTTGCCAGATCCCCTATGGAGCCAATTCCTGATTGGAACTTTCTTACCACCCTGGTGACAACAGCACCTACAGAGTCTTGAAGGAAGACAGGCTTCATGACTCCATACCCTGCTTACCCAATGGCATGTTTTCCCCTCCTAGAAAGAAGAAAGCACTATTTGAGAGCAGCCAGAATCTCAGCAGAAGCCACATCTCCTGTTGGCAGGGCACGCTCACTCCCAGGCCTGCCTAGCCTCCCTCTGCAGCCTGGGCACAAACTCATGGGAGTCACTTCTGCTTTGGCTGGAGCTTAGGCTGGCAGGAATAGGAAGAGAAAAGCATTTTCGGTAGGAAGCACAGCTTGCCATTCCAACTCAGTTAGGGATAGTAAACATTCTTGGTCATGATGATGCCATATACCTTTGTTGCTGTTTTCTCTTTAGAGTGGAGGGGAATGAAAGCAGAGGGCCTTCTGTGAAGTAGGATGTAGTAGAATTCACACTCCGACCTTCTGATTCCCGGGAAATGCTCTCTCTTCTAGACCAAGTGACCTGACTCTCCTTCCCCCTCTGCTCACCATCCCTCCCACTCACTGGCAGGTAGAGAAAAGTGACCAGAGTCCCTCATCTCTCTCAGGTCTGTGTTCTCCAGGACCTCAGTGCTGGTCTCTTGGATGCAGAGAGGTATCATTCACCCCAAACATGTTTAATTGTGACTTGAGATATGACCAGGTTCCAATTTTCAAATCAGCGCCAGAGATAGGAATAAAACTCCAGAGGGAAGACGTCGCTTTTACACAGGCCAGGCCAGCAAACAAACCAGCCAATCCTGGGAAAGTCAAAAGAGACTAGAAAAGCTCAGGGATCAAAGGCAGCGTCAAAGGGAGAAGAGAAAGTCCTTCATTAGCCAGGGCCATCTAAAACTGATTTGGGTCCTTTACACAAAGGACAGAGTCTGTGAATCACAGTCTGTCCCCCATGATGCTCATTCACAGTGGGTGAATGATCAAAAAAAAATTTTTTTTGCCTAATTTATCTTGGGATTCAGACCATGTGATTCCTGGGGCTTAAGGACTTAGGGAATTGGTAGAAAATTTCCAGGATACGGGACTATGATAGCTACTTCATATGGCCTTTAGCAAAGTCTTATATGAGATACCACCAAAAAATATCAAGTTTAGGTTCAAACCAGCTAATCTGAAAGAAGAGAGGGTCAAATGTATATTGCCATGGATAGCCCTTCCTGCCTGTGGCTGTAATCCACAGGATTTGGTGATCTGAGACTTTCAGGGTTGAAAAAGCCGAATTCTCATAAGTTAAAATGAATGTAAGAAAGTAGAACCACATAGGAGATTGTATCAGTTTCCTATTGCTGCTATAACAAATTACCACAAATTTGGTGGCTTAAAACAACAGTTTATCGTGGCTCACGCCTGTAATCCTAGCACTATGGGAGGCCGAGGCAGGTGGATCACTCAAGGTCAGGAGTTTGAGACCAGCCTGAGCAAGAGCGAGACCCCGTCTCTACTAAAAAAATAGAAAGAAATTATCTGGACAACTAAAAAATATATGGAAAAAATTAGCCGGGCATGGTGGCGCATGCCTGTAGTCCCAGCTACTCGGAGGCTGAGGCAGTAGGATCGCTTGAGCCCAGGAGTTTGAGGTTGCTGTGAGCTAGGCTGACGCCACGGCACTCACTCTAGCCAGGGCAACAGAGTGAGACTCTGTCTCAAAAAAAAAAAAAAAAACAGTTTATTATCTTACAATTCTGGAGGTCCTGAGTCTGAAATAGGTCTCCCGGGGCTCAAATCAGGGAGTCAGCAGGCTGTGTTCCTTTTGGAGCCTCTAGGGTAGAATTAATTCCTGGCCTTTCTGAACTGCTAGATGCTGCCCTTATTCCTTGTGTTACGCACTAAACTGTGTTCTCCCAACCCCTCATGTTGAAGCCCTGACCCCCAGTGTGACTGTGTTTGGAGACAGGACCTAGAAGGAGGTAATAAAGGTTAAATGAGGTCAGAAGTGTAAGACCCTCGGAGGTTCAGGCGGCAGCGACGGGCGCGGACATCCGCGCGACTCCAGCGGCTCCAGCGGCTCCAGCGGCTGGGCGGCCCGGGGGCGGACCTGGCCGGGATGGGCGGGCGGCCGCGCGGGGCACGCGGGGCCGTTCGACGTGACCCGCCAGGGCTCGGAGCCCGCCCAGCCCAGCCGCGCCGGGGTTGAGGGTCTGCTCAGTGGGAGCGGATGCGGGGCCGGGCGGCGAGCCGAGCCGGAGCATGCGGGGCCCAGCGCTGGTGGCCTGGGGGCGCGCGGGGCAGCTGTGGCCGCGGCCTCCAGCCCCGGGCCCGGGCTCGCCTCCGTCGCTGCCGCTGCTGCTGCCGCTGGCCGTGCTGTTGGGCGGCGCCGACGCGCAGTACTCCAGCGACCTGTGCACCTGGAAGCGGAGGTGAGTCCGCGCGGCGCGACCCGTCCCGGACCCTGGCCCTCGTCCGTCCGCTCCCCTCCCCTCCCTTGCCTTCCCCTCCCGGGCCGGCGGGGCGTGCGGGGGCGCGGCTGGGGGCAGGCTCTCCAGGCTAAGTCCGGTGCCCACCGTCCGCCGCCCCCTATTCTAGAACAAAAGACCCCGCGGCGTCCCGGTCCCCTGGCCCAGACGACGCCCTGGGGTAGGCGCGCCTGCAGCCCGGCGGGGTCGGTCCCGGCCCGGCCCCCCACGAGCTCGGCGCGAACCGCGCCAGTCTCTACTTGGCCCCGAGCCCGGCGGTCGCCGATCCCGCGACCCCACTGCAGAGGCGGGAGAGAGTCGGCCCTTGGGCCCTTCCAGGCATCTGTTGGGGACAGTTGCGCGTCCTGAGGCCGCCCGGGGCCGGAGGAGCCGAGTCTGCGTCCGGGGCAGAGCGGGATGGAGCGGCGGCTTCGGTGAGTGGAGGGGTCCCCCGGCTGCCGCAGCGCAGTCAGCGTCCGTGCGGGTGGCGAGCCGCGCGCGGGCCGACACCTGTGCGCGGGGCCAGTGCCGGGCCGGCGAGCCCCCCGCCCGGTGAAGGTCAGGCCGCCCTTGGCAGCCGCGCGCTCTGGGCTTGTCGAGCCCCCTCTACCCCGCGGTGGCAGCCGAGGACATTTTTTAATTGAAGTGTGACCGCAGAAAGGAGCGCGAGTCCCGAGTGTGCGCGGGCGCAGACCGGGGAACCGCCGCTGCTCGGATGCGAAACCTAGGGCGCAGTGGGCGCCGCGGCCGCAGCCCGCCCTTGCCAGTTTCGCGCCTTCTTGGAAGCGGTTGTTTCAGGAATTTACCGGGGGCGCCGGGACCCAGGCGGGCGCGCGTCTTCCCGGAAACGCTGCAGATTAGGGCTGCCCCTGCACCTGGCGTCCGGCGCCCGGCGGCTCCCGCCCAAGGCCCTCGGCCCGGACAGACGGGAAGATTCCAGCCGGCAGACAGCTCATGGGGGTGTCACGGAGTTACTTTGAGTGAAGCGGGTTTTCTGAGAAGGTTGGGATTGAGCCCGTGGGCTGGGCTCCTCTTGGACACTCCGAGACCAGCTCTTGTCCCGAGGGGAGCTGAGTGGGAAGATTCACCCCTGGCCCCTGAGAGCGGCGAGCGGTGCCGGCCTTAAGGGCGCTTTCTGCCCCACCCCGGCTGAAACCCTCCCGGCGGGGCAGGGACACCGGAGCCGCGGGGAGCGAGGGCAGATGGAGCCCTGGAGGAGGGCTGCCTCGGGAATACCGGCGCCAGCACGAGCTGGCTGCGAGCCCCCGATGCTGACAGCTCTCTGGGGCTGCCCTTTCCCTTGAGATAGAGATTAAACTGGCTTGCAGCCTCTGCCCGCTGAATCAGTGCACCCCGAAACTGAGGCCTTGGGGTGTTCTGTTTCAGCAGATCAAACCAGAAATGAAGTCCCTGCGGCGCCAGTCTGAGTTTCCAGAGTGGGGGCTCACGTCCTCTTCGGGTCCTCCGGGGACTGTGCCTGGAGGAAGGGGACGCCTTCCTAGAGGCTGTGAATGAGGGGTGGTTGGAAGGCCCACTCTCCCCACCTAACAGGTGTTTGCAGCGGGGGAGGAGTGCCCTCGCCTGGCTCCAGTCTTTCCTCCCCGGCCCCTGCTCCCCCATCATCGCCAACATCCTCCTGGGCTCAGACTTCCTGGAGGGGCCCCTCCCCAAGGCAGAGCCTGAGGAGGGCAGCTGCAGGGACCCTCGAGCTGCGCTGCTCTGCCATCTGCCGATCTGCCGTGTAGATAGGGTGTAAGACTGTCTTGCGTGTCATCACTGCTCGCACTCACCAGTGCCTTTCACAGATCACTGACCGCACTTACTGCGCAACTGGGAGTGTGCTGGTTTGCTCGCCATCTCCCCAGTGTTTATGGCTTTTTACGAGCTGTTCTGAAGACGCAGGGTGGAGCCCGCCTGAAATGCTGTGTGGATTCTGTCCCCTGATAGCAAGGGAGTTGCTTTTTATGACACTGGCAACTCAGTGACAGGCTGATATTTCTAGGTGTTTCCAAGCAATTAAGCAGGAGCTTTGGAAATACCTCTGCAGGTGGAAGAGGCAGGACCTATTATGCCTCGAGCTTTATTAGCCGGTGGTCATAAAGGTGGACATGGACTTTCCCATTGCCATCAGCAGGTGTCACAGGTGCAGTTGCACCAGGGTTGCCTTTCCTGCAAGGTGGGGAAAGGAAAGGCAGCTTGTCAGCAGAGACTTGCTGACTTCAGTGAAGAGGCCATCACTGTGTTCTGGTGACTGGGGGTGTGGCGTGTGGACTGGCACCACACTGGCCCCTGGGGGCTCTCCCTCTTTTCCGTAAAGGTGCCCCACAAGCGTGGCCACCTGGGAGGTAACCCTTGCTGGCTTTTAAAAAGATGCACTAATTCAGTTTAAGATCAAATCAGTCTTGTCAGTTTCCTAAAGTTGAATAGAACCACAGTTCTGTCTGCGTCCTTTTGTCACAACAGTAGAGCACAGTTCTTTCATGTCTGCTCAGTGTGTCACCTGCATCTTACGTGAAAATCATAAAATACCTCATCCATGATCATTAAAGATGTGTTGCATTTTTGTAACTCCAGCAATTTCGCATAAATGGACATTTTCCCGGGGGAAAAAAAAGAAAAAAGATGCGTAAGACCCTCTGAGCGGGCTGGTGTCCTTATGAGAAGAGGAAGAGACATCAGAGATCTCTTTCCCTATATTCACAGAGGAAATGCCATGTGGGGACACAGCAAGAAGGCAGCCTTCTACAAGCCACAAAGAGAGGCCTCACCACACACAAACCCTGATGACACCTGGATCTTGAACTTCTAGCCTCCAGAACAGTGAGAAAATTACCTTCTGGTGTTTAAATCACCCAGTCTGTAGCATTTGTTATTGCAGCCCTAGCAGACTAAGACACCTTGGTCCATGGACGCCTTTCCTCTTCACCGCGTCTCCTCGTCTGGCTCACTGTCTCCTGCCTCCCTCTTTCACTTGTAAGTACTGCTGTGATCACATTGGACCTGCTTAGATGATTGATCCAGGATAATCTCTCCACCTCAAGATCCTGAACTTATCACATCTTCAAAGTCCTTGTCCACATCCTGGTGGCGGGGTGGGTTATTCCGCCTACTACAGAGGTCGAACTGGCGCCCATGAGAACTCTGAGCTCCCAGGGGTGATAGACCAGGGTGGTGGTGGACATGACCACACAGACTCAGACACCCTGGACCTGGGCTTTGGGAATGAGAGCAGTGCATGTAAATGAGGGCGTTTTCTTTTTTTTTTTTTTTTTTGAGACAGAATCTCGCTTTGTTGCCCTGGCTAGAGTGAGTGCCGTGGCGTCAGCCTAGCTCACAGCAACCTCAAACTCCTGGGCTCAAGCAATCCTTCTGCCTCGGCCTCGCGAGTAGCTGGGACTACAGGCATGCGCCACCATGCCCGGCTAATTTTTTCTCTATATATGTATTTTTAGTTGTTCAGATCATTTCTTTCTATTTTTTAGTAGAGACGGGGTCTCGCTCTTGCTCAGACTGGTCTCGAACTCCTGACCTTCAGCGATCCACCCGCCTCGGCCTCCCAGAGTGCTAGGATTACAGGTGGGAGCCACCGCGCCTGGCCTATGAGGGCGTTTTTGAAAGTATACGGGAAGAAGGGGATGGATGGATGGATGGAAGAATGGGATGGACGGCCAGAGGGATGGACTGTAATGAACATTTGTCATTCACCTAGCCAGGGTCCGTTATCCTTTCCTCTGGTAACAATCCCTGGTTGTGATCTGGGTGGGGTCCAGAGGTAGAAGGCAACACAGAACCAAAGCCAATCAGTGCATTGGATTCTCTAGACCAGGGGTCTTCAGACTTTTTATCTGAAAGGCCAGAAAGTAAATATTTTAAGCCCTGTGACCTATACAGTCTCTGTCACAACTACTCAATGTCCGGAGCCATGAGGCCCGGCAGCTGCTTATCCAAGATGGCCGCGAGCCATGTGGATCGGCCTGCTTATCTAAAATGGCCGACCGAGCCCGCGCATTTGCAAAAGCCCGCGAAAGAGCTTGTAAGTTTCTATTTACCCATTATGACGTAGCCCTTGAAAGCCGCCTGAGGGTTTCCTTATATGGAAATCCTTTGGCTGGAAAGCCAGAGCCTCGGAAAGCACCGCCCCTTTACTGTTACTTCCTCTTTCTGCCTTACTTAAGCCTCTGCCCTACTGCCAATAAACGAGACTTGATCAGACTCCTGTCTTGTCTCCATTTCTTGTGTCTCCTGCCTCTCGCAATTCCCACTCCCCCCTCCAGGGTCCGCGTTGACTACCCCGCGGGTCGGGACAACTCAACTCTGCTGTTTTGGCACAAAGGCAGCCATGAACAATACATAAATGAATGTGGCTATGCTCCATTAAAACTTTATTTCAAAAAAAAAAAAGCCCATGAGCTGGACTACTGCCAGTGGGCAAGTTTGCTGACCCCTGCTGGAGACCATGAGAGTGGGTTTAATAGTGAGTACATGATCTAAGCCAACAAACTGGAATGCGTTTCAGGACTATTATGGTGTCTACCAAAAGCAGGCTTGCTCTTTCCTGTGATACATGTAGGCTGTTCTGGTTTATGTCACATGCTGGAGGATAAAATCCAAGAGCTTCTTCTAGGGACCTCCGTAGTGGCTCAGACGTCACCATGGAACCATTTGATTGGAAAGTTGGGAGTTGCATTACTACGCACATGGGTTGTTCTAGGTCAGTTTCTGGACTCTATAGTACCTATGCTGCTTGGCTCATGCATGAGCTAGAGAATCCCCTGCATTCTTTTGCAGCTGGCGCACTGCATTAGTTATGGTTGGCAGATCGTACGGTATTTCTTCCTCCCAGGTATGCAGAGGATTAGGGTGGAGCAATTACACCAAGGTAAAGCACCCACTTTCATCTCTAGGAGACCCGGAATCCCTCGCTATCTGCCTAACATAAGGAACCCCAGCTGGACCTGCTGATCTCTGCTCCATCTGGGCTCCCATCTTCCAGCAGTCTTCTTCGCAAGTGGCACAAGGGTCCCTAATATCAGCAAGAGAGGACAAACTTTCTCAAGTCTCTACTTTCATCACTTTGCTAAGTAGAGCAAGCCACCTGGCTAAACCCAGATTAAATGATTGGGAAAAAGAATCCATCTCTTATTGTGAGGATCATCAGGATCACAATGCAAAGGGGTGTGTATAGGGCAATTGGAGGAATTTGTGGCCATTTTTGCAACCTACCACATGGCCTTGGTGCAGAGATTAAATCAAGAATGTGGCTATCACACTCTTTTTCAAGACTTCTGAAAGGATTGTGGTGGTGCCTGTAGCTCCATTCAGCTAGACAAAAGGGTTCCTGGAATGAGTAACTGTGTGGTCCCACAGAAGCCTGATATGCCAATTATTTAGTATCTGATATTAAGTCCAGAGAGAAAAACATGAAAGAATTGTGGACATAGCTTTTGGCCCATGAATTTATCTGAAATTAAATACATAGAAAATACTGTGTTTTGAGAGAACTATTTTGGCAAAGTGCCCCAAACCTGGACTGAAAGAGACTGAAGATGTCAAATAAC